ATATTAGCTAATTTGAAGCAAGCAATTTCTAAATAATTTTTATCTCCTGGCCCTCTCTGATTTTTTTAAATGACCAAATGCCTGTGTTGGTCAACACTTTTTCTCAAAACCTATTCAACTTTCATGAGGCCTAGTTAAGTGGGAAGACTTTAGGTTTAAAAGAAAGTAGCAAGAGAAATAAAAGCCTCTGCTCCCTTGGCCAGAATGAAAGACAATCTAAGCAAATCGTGAAAAAGAAAAAATGTGCTCTTCAGCCATAAAAAAATATGAGATCATGTTCTTTGCAAGGGCATGGATGGAGCTGGAGGCCATAAGCTTTAGCAAAGTAACACAGGAACAGAAAACCAAATACTGCATGTTCTCCCTTATAAGTGGAAGCTAAATGATGAGAACACATGGACACATAGAGGAGAACAACACACACTGGGGCCTTTGGGAGGGTGGAGGGTGGGAAGAGGGAGAGGATCAGGAAAAATAACTACTAAGTACTAAGCTTAATACCTGGCTGATGAAATAATCTGTACAACAAATCCCCATGACATGAGTTTACCTATGTACCAAACCTGCAAACCTGCACTTGTCCCCCTGAATTTAAAATACATATATTATTTAAAAAATGCTCATAGCACTCAACCATCTTGGTGACCCTTTCTTCCTTTGCCCCAATTCACTCTAGGACACAAATGCCTTCATTTTGCCCAAGTTTTCCCATTCATTTCTACCATCCCACACAACATTGCACATCCCCAAACTAGCCATGGCCACTTTTCCTCCTTTCTGTCCAACTCTTCTATCAAAACAAATTCTGTCACAGGAGCTGACTTTAGCCTGGTATAAGAAGTATGACAATAAGATTGACTACTTTAAATGAATTAATAAATCATTCCAGGACTTGCAGTGCAACATGAGCTTAAGATACCACTTTTCCAAAGAAATTTTAATACGTAGGGATTTCAGGATAACAAAAGAGAAGAAATGGGAAAACTGGAGCATGTGCAGAGGGATAGTGTGGAGCTTAGAGCAGATGAGATGAATGTGCAGTGCACGTTCACAGAACCTCACTTCTGCACATGTGGCAGACATGACTAATGGAAGCTAGATCTCCCACCTGTGGATTTGCCCACTGTTCTCACAAACCTTCCTGGTGTAAAGCTTGAAGAGAGAGAGTGAGGCACTGAGAACTTGCAGGCAAGATGAAGCCTATTTGCCACTCGTGCCCTGGGACTATTCTAGAGTGGATGCTTACCCCAGGGTCAGGCTCTCTAGTGTTCTTGGAAGAGCATTTTCTCTTCCTTCAAATAAGTCCACTTGGGGGTAAAAAGGAAATATTCCAATGACAATGTTGATGTTGCTCAAAACACTTCAGGAATTTCTAGGAATTGTCTTCTTTGAAAGTTAAAAAAAATACAAGCCTTCTTTGTCTTCTCCTTCTCCCCAACACACACACAAACACACACACTCTCTCTCTCACACACACATTCTGTCTCTCTCTCTCTCTCTCTCTCACACACACACACACACACACACATTCCACTGCCTAATTTTAGAGTTTGCACTTTGTTTTTGATCAACTTTACTAGCTTGACCACCACTCAGAAGGAGCATCAAAGTACTTTAGGTTTTTGTTGTTGTTATTTTATAATGAACACTCATACCCAAAGAACGAAGTTTTGCCCCCATGTAATCCCTTGTTGAAGCACATCGGTAGGCAGAGCCCTGTCCTCTTCCCTTATCCCTGGAATTTTTTCTGCTGCTATGTTCTGAATATGCCTCCCAAAATTCCATGTGCTGGAAACTTGATCACCAATGCAGCAGTGTTGGGAGGTATGGCCTTTGGGAGATATTTAGGTGGTGAGGGCTCTGCCCTCGTGAATAGGTTAATGCTATACTCAAAAGGGCTTGCAAGAGTGGGTTCACCCTTTCTTCTCTTCTGTCATGTGAAAACATGGGGTTCCTCCCCTTCTGAGGATGTAGTGCTCACCTTAGAGGTGGAGACTGGGCCCTCACAAGACACCAAACCTGCCAGCACCTTGATCTTAGACTTCCCAGCCTCCAGAACTGTGAGAAATTAATTTACATTCCTTATAAAATACCAAATCTCAAGTATTCTGTTATAGCAGTAAAAAAAAAAAAAAAAAAAAAAAAAAAAAAAAAAAAAAACAGAGTAAGCCACCTGCTTTCATCTCCCCCTTGTGTCCTCTATCACTTTTTCTTTTTTCCCAGGAGGCTTCTCTTCTAGGCAAACTGTAAGGTGAAATAGTATCTTCTGCCTTATGCTCAATCCCTTCCACTTCATTAGTGGCCCCAAAGCTCTTTCTCTCTTGAGTAATTTTCTTTAGTACAAGAAAATAAACCATTCAACAAACAGAACCACCTTTTACAGATTGTAAAAGTTATAAAAGTATCTTAATAAGTATTTACGGCTTCGTTTCCCTGATGCATCTACTTAAATATCCAAAACAAAAAGCTGGTTTCATAATTAAGCCATTTAGTGTTCTACTTGGATTTCTTTACTTTCATGTATGATAAGAAACCTGCCTTCTTCAGAGCAGGCAAAGAGATAATCTGCAAGGACATAAAATATGGTTTCAAATGGCTAGACCCATGAAGGGGCCCCGTGCTCGAGAGGGCCATGAACATGTCAGGATCACTCTAGAATCACACAGATTCTCCACAGCACAGGATACTTTTAAATTTTTTTCTGGAAAGGTCAGGTGACATCATTTCCTAATCTAAGATTTGAAGGAAAATCTATTGGACTTTCACAGAATGTTGAAGCAATCAGCTGTATCACCCAAGTGTCTACGGTAACCCAGGGGGCTCTTTACATTTCGATATAAAATGTCTGGTAATTTTGCTCATATAAAGAAAATAATAATATACCATGTCAAATCTAATGGGTATGCTTATACAGAATACACACACTAATAAATACACACAAACGGATGTTACATGAATCTCAAAGTATGTTTAGTGCATTCACTTTTCAAAGACCCTAAAGAAATGACAGAACTTTATAATGGCATATTATAATATACTGGAATGTTCTGGTTCCTCCTAGCAGTTACCGTAATCTGCATGACAATTTTATTAAAACACTGCTGATTTCAAGTAGACCATCAGAAAACAGGAAAATCTCTCTCTTAAAAGTGGAGATGTTCTACAAAACATGAATGAGCAGGAATGGATAAAACAGTAGTACATCATTTGACTCAAAAAGATGCTCATGTCTGTGCCAAATCATATTTTTCTTAGAAAGTCACAATGAACAAAAAAAGAAGATAAATCATTGTGGAAATGCAAGTGAGCTGGTAATAATAGCCTAGTTATAGCTGCCATGAAATAGTCATTAAGTTATATGTAGCATAAATCTCACAGAGTTTTGTAAATTATGGTGGTTCTTAGAGGCCAAATAAAGATAAAGTGTAGTATCACTGCCTTTCTTTTTGTTCCTTGGCATGGCTTTTTAAAATGTGTTATCTCAGGCTCATAGCACCATATGGCTCCTGAAGCATCTGAGAAAGAATTGAAAAGTTCACAACTGTATTCAAGACCCCTCCACCACATTTTGAAGGTGATCATGTCTAACCAGTTCTTCCCTAAGCTCCTAAGCAGAGTCTGGCCCTGATTGGGCTTATACTGGGGCCAGACCGACTTCCAGCTCAAGCCTAGGACTTCAAGCTGCTCTCATTTCCAAGGCATGCTGGAAGAGCAAGTGCCAGACATGTGTACTGCTGCGGGAGCTGGGCTTGCCATGCATGATTCCGGCCAGCCATCTCCAGCTCCAGAGACCAGCAATGAAACTGTATCCTCTGCTTCTCTCTATACACCTGCACATTAGCAAAACTCTGATTCAGAGATTCCTAACCAATGTTCCTTTTTCTCCTTTTTGGAGGTTGGTAGTAATCCCCAGTTGATCTTTTTCCTTAACTGCTTTTACCCCTGCTATTTAAGCTAAATTCTTATTGCTTCAAATTAAATCCATTCTTTCTAGCCTTGTCATTGCTAACTAATGAGAACAATTCCTCTCTTTGCTCTTGGTGACTGTACTTTGGGTACTTATGGATGAGAATCATATCTCTCTTTAGCCTACTTTCTTAACTGCAGACTGCACAGGTGATAAAATGGGTTAATTGTTGCTATAAAAATATTTTCCAACCTTATAACAAAAAAATGTTTTCTTCCAAATCATTTTTAATTTCTTAGCCTTTGCTGTGTTCTTATGATCTACAGGGATTGAGGGTGCAGTGCTATTAAGCGCATATGTACAAGACCAAAAACAAAATGTTGACTATGCAATACACATGAATTACTCAATTCTTGATCACTGTCCTTTTTCCCTTTTGCCCCGCCTACTCTGGCACTCTGGTCTCAGTTTTTATCACACATTTATGACATCTCTACAGTGATATTTGAAGCCTAGACAGGGGTCACTAAATTATGGCCTGCAGCTTGTTTTTATAGATACATTTTTATTGGAATACAGTCGCATGCATTAAAAAAAAATGTATTGTCTGTGACTGCTTTCACATTACAAAGGCAGAACCAAGTAGCTCTGAGAGAGACTATCTGACCTGCAAAGTCCAAAATATTTACTTTATGTCTCTTTACAGAAGGTTTGCCAAATCCCAGCCTAGGAGATTGTTAAGTTCCACTTGACTTTGCTGCTTGCGCCAGGTAAGATCCATACCAGGTAAATCTCTTAAATATACCCTAGAAATCTGAAAAATGTTCTGCCACAGGCCAAGTCAGACAGTTGGGAAGGGAGACTGCAAAGAATGAATTTCTTTTTCCTCTCTATACACATGGGGAAGAAGAAAGAGTTTTTAAATTTTTTCCCCCAGGAACCCTATAAGCCTGATGGTTCACATCTGAAAACAATTTTTATAAGCACGTGCACCTTTGCCACACTGATCTAGATTGTTCTGCAGCATTTCCCTGAATCACCAACTCAGACCACCAGCAAGACAAGAAAATCCAGGCCAAGGCCCGCTACTCACTATGTGAAGCTGGAGGAAGTCACCAAGTCCTGGGGCACTGTCGATGCGGACCAAGATGCCATCCTTCACAGTGGTGCTGAAGCCCACGGCAAGGCGGTCAGAGCGCGTGCTGGGCCTGTCATTGGCTGGCCAGGTGTAGAGGATGAGCCCACCGCTTTTCCCAAAGATGTACGTAGCGCCAGCTGCAAAAGCGAGGAGAGAGGGAGACATCAAGGCACTGTATTGCATACAGCCAGTTGCAGCATACTGTTGAGACCTTACACAGAACAGCTGTAGAGAGGAAATGTCCCCCATGGGACAGTATTTGGTTACTTAGAGGAATGGCACCCAAAGGTTCTGAAGGCAGCTATCACCCCAAATTAAAGAGGCAGGCAGAATGAGTGAATAACAAAGCAGATGTTGGCGAGAGTCGTTCTTAACATCTTCAGTTCCTGCTGCCTAACGGTGGAGGGTAGATAACATCCTAAAGTCTGGGAGTCTGGGGATATTGCAATAAACAACTTTCTGGTCTTCTTCAATAGCAGGCTTAATTTTCCATCTTGGCCAGGACAGGCACAAAATAGAAAACTAGTCCCCTATCTCTTAGCTATCAGCATAATCTGGTCACTGGAGCCAGGAGCCTTACAAAACTGAAGGTAACAGAGCAGTCCAAAGACATCATATCTCTCCTGCTTGTACCTTCTCCCACTCCCACTGGAAAGAAAGCAGTGGCCCAAGAAAACCAAGTTATGTGACTAAATGCATTTGCCTATTTCACTATTATGTTGCTATAAACATGGTAACAAAAATGATTTCCTGGAGTCTTTTTTTTTAAGACGGAGTCTCGCTCTGTTGCCCAGGCTGGAGTGCAGTGGCACAACCTCGGCTCACTGCACCCTCTGCCTCCTGGGTTCAAGCAATTCTCCTGCCTTAGCTTTCCAAGTAGCTGGGACTACAGGCACGTGCCACCATACCTGGCTAATTTTTTGTATTTTTAGTAGAGAAGGAGTTTCACCACGTTAGCCAGAATGGTCTCAATCTCCTGACCTTGTGATCCGACTGCCTTGACCTTCCAAAGCACTGAGATTACAGGCGTGAGCCACCACGCCTGGCCTCCAGAAGTCTTTTAAAAATGAACCTTCTTTTTGTTCCCTAGTGGTGGGATTTATCTGGCATTAAATACATTTTCATTTCCTTTTTCAAATTAAATCTTAGGAAGAAGATACAAGAAACATAGAAAAAACATCCCAGGATGATGAGATTTGAACGTGACAAGTCGTAATTGTCAATTATGATTAGTGAGCTTATCAGTGTGTTTACTATTTACTTGTGTTTTTATTATTATCCATATGAACTCAGGAGTTAACTAAGAATATATTAATTTGGAACTACTTACAAAGCAAATGGGAATAAAAATAAGTATTTATATTTCAGAAATTATAAAAAGTATATTTCAAGAAACACGTTTTTAATCTCAGTTGGATAAAATCATTTAGATTTGGTGACCAGAAAAGGCTATGCCATTTGTTGCCTCTCTGGTTTTAGGCATGTGGTGTTAACCCACAGCGAATACTTCCATGGGTTACTCATCTCAAAATTCAGAGCACATTTGCTATCAGATTTTCTTGTGTATTTCCCAGTGACCATGTTCCAACTCTTAAAACCATTTTAAAGCAGCATTAGACAACTACTCAGATACCTTTAACATTTACTAAAACTCTCAAGCACTGGTTCGCATGTATTCCCAGAGCTAGTTTACAGAGAATATTAGGTGGAATTACGTTGACCAAAGAAGAAGTGAGTTATTCATCTTGTTTAGAAATAATAAAGTTAACTCTTGTGAGACTAGAATTAGGAACATGTGTCACATGTCATCCTTCCTAAAGCAGTAAGACTCATTAAATTCTGAGGCATATAGAATCTAATTTGTCTTCTTTGAAAGGTCACTATTTTAGTTGCTCCAATTTGCTCAGTTTGTATATCACATGTAGCATAACATTGTTTTCCTTTTATGAATTTCTCAATCCTTAGGGGATGGTGTCTGAAAGCCCTCTACACTCATCTGGAGGATTTGGAATTGTGGTATGCAAAGTTTATGATTAATTCTATACGCAAAACAATGTTTACTTCCTACCATACACAAACACCCTCAAAGCTTCTTAAAATTAGAAATGTGGGTATGATTTACCCTTGATATCTCTCCATCTGTGAAGAATTTAAATAATTCCTCTGTAGATGATTACAAATGTCATCACCACTCTCTTTAGTCTTTATTTGGAAAACTGAAGGTTACTCAGTGATTAATGTATAGAATCACCAAAAAATGCAAATCAGCCTGTGACATTTCATGGCAATTTATAAAAATCTTTTACTTTTCTATCCTAAATATATAGTGGATTTTGCTACAGAGATAAATTCATACTCTATCAGGAAATAATTTTATCACTATAAAAATAACAAGTCCAAAAATTGATAGCAACATAGGCATGGTGCTTTACAGTTTGCAAAATATTTTCAAATTCATTCACCGAATCTTTGCAACAATTGTATGGGATATTTTCTATCTTAACACTGTTTTATAGATTGGGAAACAGAGGCTCAATTATCTGATTTAAATGGTACCACCCTTAAGTCTCCAGCCTGAGTCTTCTACCTCTGAAAACCTTTCTTCACCACATACCAATGTAATTACACAATAAACTGTATCAAGAAACTGTACCAATGGGGCAAACAGTTGTCTGTACTTAGTTCTTTTCACATCTTTTTATCAGACTAAAGCAGAATGAAAACAAAGTCACAGCCCCCAAATCTGGCATGTTTTCAAAAACTTGTCTGGCCATCTCACCATATCAATAACTTTAAGCATTTTACTTGTAATTCTCACCCACAATCCTGCCAGTAATTCCCAGTGCTCCAATAAAAAGGAGAAGAATATTTTAATACATAAATATACAATTTCTTATATACGGTTAGAAGGTCACAGTGCCTTTAATCTTTAAATAAACAAAAAACAAAACTTCACTATGACAATACTTGATAGATAAACTAAAATTTTGATTTAAAATTATTTGTATTGCTTTTGTTATTCTGAATTTACAAAGTCACTATGTTAGATAATTCTAACTTTATAGGTGAAGAAAGCATAAAAGATACAAAGGACCTGGCGTATGATTACTTTGCTATGAAGAAAAAAATATGAAAATATCTCTTCTTGGTAAAGTATTTGCTACTAAGAGTGAATAAAGACTCTGAATGCTCCCATAGTCCAATGCTATGGGACATTAGAGGAAGTTAATTAACAATTATACCTTTCTACACCGATATTGTTATTGTTTTTTCTCTTTACATTTCATGCTTTGCTGTGTTTTGGTATGCGTTCTGTGCGTGTGTGGCTGGGATAGCGGTCCAGCAGACGAAAAGGATCAAATAGTCTTCCACGCAATCATAAAGGAGTCCTGGGTGATAGTTACGGGACAAGCTAATTAAGTGGGTGATCTATAGTTTCTTCAAGAGAATGAGGAATATAATTTTTTCTCATTCACATATTTCTCCAAGGTTCTGAAATTTTGAGTTTATTTTATTGCTTATTTTATTAGAATATAATTGTTGATGGCAATTTACTTTTTCTTTATTTAGGATCACTTAGGTAATTATTTTATCATTGTTGTTTTGACTTGGAAACCCCATGGCCCTGCCTTTATGGCATTGGTTCTATTTCTAGTCTCATAGCCAAATAGCATATTACTTTTTGTGGGAGACTATTAACAGAAATTGAATTCTTGTCTTAACACTCACTTTAGATATAAAAATAATATATACATACATATGTATATGTACATATATGTATACATAAGCATATATATATTTGTCTATGTGTGTGTGCATGCATGTGTGTGAAAAACATAAAAGGTTTAGTTAAAAAATACAATAGACTAGAATTCATTTATTATTTACCCCATCAAATAATTACAGATAAAATGGCTTAATAAAAGTACTAAAATACAATAATAAAATATATTGGCTGTATAAGTGTATATGTATATATATATGTGTATCTATATATATAAAGCAAACTAGCCTTCCCTGAAATAATTCTATTGATGTTAAAATGGAACGAGTTTTGGAAGCGCCTCCCAGGGGAAATCTGAGAGTTAAATTTAAGGAGAACTGGGTTCTTGTGGACAAATATAACAAGTAGAACAATAAATTAAGTAATAAAATAAATATAACAATGATGTGCAAAGTACTTGATAGATAAACTAGGATAAGAAACAAGATGTCAGTCTCCTACTCTAGTTCTCTTTGATCATTGCCTCAGGACTTAGTATAAAATCTTGTAAGAGTAAGGTATGTCTGTCTTCCTCTATCATTTCAGGTTTCTTAATCCTTATTTCTTTTTTATTACTCTTTCACAAGCTTATCCACATTTGTGTTCTTTACTATAAACTGGTAAATCCTTTTGGATAATAAACGGTCTATCAATGACATAAAATATATTCTGCCAGTAGATGTAGTTATTGCTATTAAATTAAAACTATCTTTTAAATTCATATCAATTACCATGTAGCTAATAAAACCAAAAGGGAAAGGCCTGTGACTTTGGAACTGACAAATATCTCTTCTAGCAAATAGAGACATAAATTTAACTGAAGGATCTTGTAATATCTTATAGCCCAAAGAATACATTTTCTCAATTTCTTTTACTTAGTTTGTTGCGTGGTTTTCCTCTGCCCCTCATCTCCCTGGCTGTTTTGGGAGTGAATTATGTTCACTATTTTATAACAGCGGGACCTTATATTTCCATAGAATTAAATGGTTTTCAAATTGCTTTCTTTCGGAGTGTCTCATCTTATGCCTCTTCCCTCGACACTCACTGAAATATTAATGACAAATATTTTGGTTACTATTTTAATAAAAAAGAAAATTGATGCTCAAGGAGATTAAACAACTTGATCTGTTGCTGAGTAGTGGAGCTGAGAATAGAGTCAGATCCTCCCTTTCTTAACTCTGCCCTCTTCTCCAAAGCTGTCCTAATGACTAATGGGATAAAGACTCCCTAAATCATCCCTAGAGATCAGGAGCTCCACAAGGAGGGGAGAAAGGTGAATAACAAATGGAAAAACTGCAAACGAGGCCTCTGCATTACAGAGGAAGCCACTCGGGAATTTAGGACAGGGTAAAAGACACACATTTTAAAAACAGC